TCTCCTAGTGCTCATTGCCATGGAGCTCTGTGGGAACACAGAGCAGCTACAAATCGAACTGGCATGCCAGTATGGCATGTTGCCCTAATGTTCATTTTTGTATTAGCTAGTGTTTAGAGTTTACTTTCCCCTTTTACCTCTAATAACATACATAGTAAATATAATTTTTTATATAGGGGAAGGTTTTAGCAAATTGTGGTACAGCTACTGGATGTAACACCATGTAACTATTTAAAAATGTTATGTATACAAAATATTCATGATATGAGAACTTATTTAGGAATGTTAAATGGAAAGCTCAGAATAGCAAAACTACAGTAGAAAGTATTATTTCATTGAAAAAGTGTTCCAAGGATACAAATCAAAATTTTATATATTTTTTTGCAAGATTTGTTTACGTATTTAAAAGAATTACAGAGTTATGGAGAAGGAGAGAGAGAAAGAAAGAGATCTTCCACGCATCAATTGATTCCCAAAATGGCAGCAACGGCCAGGGCTGAGCCAAGTGGAAAGCAGCAACCGGAAACTTTATCCTGGTCTCCCAAGCGGGTGGCTCGGGCCCCGACATTGGGCTATCTTTTGCTGCTTGTCCTAAGCAATCAGCAGCGAGCGAAACTAGAAGGGAAGCAGTGAGGACATGAACCAGTGGCCATACAGGATGTCGCAGAGGATGATATTACCCACTCATCATCATGCTAACCCACAAATCAAAGTATGAATGCAAGTGGTGTTTATGTTCAGAAAATGATTTCTTTTAAAAGATTTATTATTTATTGGAAAGTCAGATATGCAGAGAGGAGGAGATATACAGGAGGTACACAGATATACGGCCGATGCTATGCGGAACTGAAGCCAGGACCCAGGAACTTCTTGGTCTCTCACACGGGTGCAGGGTCCCAAGGCTTTGGGCTGTCCTTGACTGCTTTCCCAGGTCACAAGCAGGGAGCTGGATGGGAAGTGGAGCTGCCGGGATTAGAACCGGCGTCCATATGGGATCCCGGGCATTCAAGGCGAGGACTTTAGCCGCTAGGCCACGCTGCCTTGCCCAGAAGATGATATTTTGAAAAGACTTTTATCCTGATTGTTTTTCAATTTTTAATATTCCTTTAAAGTGAAAAAATAGCAATTTTTCTGGGAATGTCCCAGCAGGCAAAAGTATTTTCCGAACTTCATTTCCCAGTGTGTAGGCAGGAAATCAGTTACTGTATCAGCTTCCAGTTTTGTTGCCTTTGTTTCCTAAGACCCATTTGAAATTAATCAGACTGAGTTTTGGCCCTTCTCTCATCCAGTATGTTCTCATCTCAGTTTCTATCTACGAAGATTATATTTCCAAAATATACTGCATTTTTAGACTTGGACTATATATGAACGCAGAGATAACCCTATTCAACCTGGTATAATATGAGCCTTTGTATGTGTTTTAGGAACTGGGAGGCTAATATAATCTCTGAAAATATATTTTCTACTTCCAGTCTGCAGTGTTTATTTCTAACTTTCCCGAAGTATGTTTAATACGAGAGTAGTGTGACTATGAGGAATTGATCTTAGTGCATCTGGCTGCATATGCATTTTAAGGCAAAGAGCAAAGCACATGTGCCATTGTGGGCAATCTGATAAGAAGGGTCCAAGACTTGTTCCATGTGACATCTGATGATATTGGCCTATCTTTCCATATTGCATCACTGTTCAATTAATCATTGTTCCAATGTACAAGATGATCAATTAAGACCTTCTTTAGTAATTTTTGGAGTTAGAGGGTATTTTAAGACTATGGGTCTCTCACTAAGAAGCTGAAGTACAGTAAGCACTGAATGTAGTTTAATACCTACCTTAGTCTCTAAATTGCAACAGCAGTTTTTATTCACTTTTATGAAGCAGTTGCAACATTTGCAGCATTTCTGGTTATATCAGAAATAGATTCTTAGGCAGTCAGTATTACAGTAAAGCAATGGAAAAGAAACATGGACCTGTCATTCTCAAAAATAGTTGTTGTTTTTGTTTTGTTTTGTTTTTTACTCTGGCCATTTATACTAGTAGATACAAATAACCTATTAGTGGACCTGCCTTCTCCTGAGATTTCTGAGATTTCTTCTCTTGGAATGTATTTTAGCTAAGAAAAGAAGAATGCCTAGCAGATATGTACCAGCAGATCTCATATGTTCATCTGAAATGGCTTCCTTTTTCTTTTTAGCAGCCATCAGTGTAAGAACTTGTGTTGAAGCTTTATGCAAAATGTGGACAGATTTTTCTTTTCGGTTACATCATTTTCATTTGACCTGCAAGGCTGAGAGGGAGAGACACAGGAAGACCAATGGAAAAGGGATTTTTCTTCTGTTTGCTGATTTACTGCCCAAATGCTCGCCACAGCCAGGGTTGAGTCAGGCTAAAACCGAGAGTCAGAAACTCAACATGGTTTCCCACATGGCCAACAGACAGCCAACTCCTTCAGCTGTGGTCTGTTGCCTCCCAGGCTGTGCGTTACCATGAAGCTGCAGCAGAAGCAGAGAATCTGGGTCTTGAACCAGACACTCCAGTATGAAACGTAGTCATGCCCAGTGTTGGCTTAACCACTGCACCAAATGCCTGCACCACTTGTCAGGTCTTAAGTTAGTAAATACATAACATGTGCAGGAGGAACTTATGAGAATGTAAAATACTATGAAAAAATACATGAATTGTCTGTTGCTTTAGACTGTGTGATGAAAGTAATCATATAAAGTCTTTTCTATGTTTTTATGCTCTTAGCATCCTAAATTTATAACCAGACCCAAAAGGTTTTTATTTACTTGAAGTATTTAAGCAGAGCATTATAAAGTTTATTTTTCTTTCTTTCCTACAACACAACTTGGTTAAGGCAAAAATTTATTAAATACTTAAAATATCCCATGAAAATTTTTAGACTACTTTTCATTAGCCTTATTTTTTTAATTAACTAAAACAGTTTCTCCATTTCATTCACCTTTAACCAGCATCAGTAAGAAGTTAGCTATTATATGTCCCCATAAACCAATATTCTTAAATTGTCTTATTCATCAATTAAAAGTATCTAGTGTCTGTAGAACAAACCTGTAATAAAATGTCAGTTAAAAGATTGACTCAGTTGATTAAAAAAGCCATGTCACTTTTTCATTCAGATTGTGTAAAAGCAACTTGATAACCTCTTATCATCCACGAAAGACCACTAAGATTTCTAGGACTATAATGCATGACTTTTATTTGCTCTTAGTCATTTTGTTTTTTTTTTTTTTTTAAAGAAATGATGTGATGTGATTTGTGTGTGTGTTTGCTCCTTTGCAAATAAAACTTCTTAATTCTCACTTGATTGCTGTTTTTATAAATTCATGCCCAGGTCCTACATAATCATATACCACTGAAAAGAAATAACTTTCCTGTTGGAGAGTCAGAGATTTGGAATGGAACTTGGGGAAGTTGTAATAGATGGAAGAGCTCATTAACTGTATCTCAGGCTTCTGTAATAAAGGCTTTTGGTTTCCTTTAAACACAGTCAGGTTAAGCTTCTGCCTTTGAGTGTTTCTGACTTCCTGGTGGAAGAAACTCTTTTTTTTTTTTTTACCAGATCTATTACTGCCTTCCTGGATCCCAGCTTTCCCCACCTGATCACCTGTAATACTAGTTACCTCATGAAACCTGCCTTCTTCCTGATCTTGACTCATTTCTATGCGCAGTGCTTACCTTCATATTCACTAGCCTGTGTATAATCTGCTTAACTTGTGACTCTTGGATGAGACAGCCCCGTTCCAGGGTTGGTTTCCTGAGAGAAAAATGACTTACTACTGATAGACATAAAACGTTCATACAGGTACCAGTACTGTGGCTAAATGGGTTAAGTTTTCTGCTGCAGTGCCTGCATCCCACACAGGCACCAGTTCTTCTGGCTACTCCATTTTGATCCTGCTTCTAGTTAATGGTCTGGGAAAAGCAGCCAAGGTGGCTCAAGTCCTTGGGCCCCTGCTCTCACTAAGGAGACCTGAAAGAAGCTCCTGGTGTCACCCTGGCACACTCCAGCCCTTGCAACCATTTGGGAGGTGAACCAGTGCATGGAAGATTCTCTCTCTTTCCCTCTCCCTCTACCTGGAACTCTACTTTTCAAATAAATAAATACACACATACATAAATATTTTTTAAAAGTTTCCTACAAACAATACATATTATATATATACTATATCATCAGGTTGTGGGAGTAGACCAGTTAGTTTGAGAGTAGCATTATACCTGCCTTTCTTGGTCTAGTGTGTGATCGAATATCAATAGAACCTATTAAATGAGATCTAAAGCATTTTTACTAATGGTCTCTGGAGACATAATTTTCTGACATACTATATTTAAAGATTTATTTTTATTTTTATTAGAAAGTCAGATATACAGAGGCAGAGAGACAGAAAGATCTTCCATCTGCTGACTCACTCCCTAAGTGGCCACAACTGCCAGAGCTGCGCTGATCCAAAGCCAGGAGCTTCCTCCAGGTCTCCCACATGGGTGCAGGATCCCAAAGTCTTGGGGCTGTCTTCTACTGCTTTCCCAGGCCACAAGCAGGGAGCTGGATGGGAAGTGGAGCTGCCGGGATTAGAACTGGCGCCCATATGGGATCCTGGAGCGTTCAAGGCGAGGACTTTAGCCACTAGGCCACACTGCTGGGCCCAAAATCCTATATAACAGTATTTTAAAAACGAAAACACTGTATTGTGTATGTGATTTTAAAATTTATAATTAACATTGACATTGTACTAAGGAATTGTGGGTATTTTCTAAAGAGATATTTGATTTACTGGAGAAACTAGAAGTACAAATTTTCCTCAATTTAAAGTGATTTCTCACTAATAAGCAATTCTTTCACCAATTATTATCGCAAAATTGACTAAAATTAATGCTCTTCTATCATAATAAACTAAGACAATTTATACTGAGTTTTCTTTGTCTTTTTCTTTGTTTTGTTTTTGTTTCCCTCCCCAAGCCCTAATAATTATTTCATTACATTTTAGTGCTTCAGAGAACTTAAATGAGCTGTCTGCTTCCAGTAGCTGGTTACTTAACCGGAGGCACAGTAAGAAAAGGAGAAAGGACAGGACGAGATTGAAATCTCCGTCTTTGACTGTCATGAATACAGCAGCGCGAACGAGGCCACTTCAAAGTTTCCCCAAGCGGAAACTCTACAGAATGAGCCCTGCTTCTTCCTGGACTCCACAGGTAAGGTCATCCTTGAGAAAACATGAACAAAGATTTTTACCCTCAGTATATTTCATGTGCAAGAGAAAGTGAATTGTATGGCTGTTTAGGACAATTAGGAGGGAAAAGCTTAAAATAAACGATATAGATACCAACAGACTACAATGGGATTTATTGATTATTTAGTCCTAAGATTTGAACCCTCAAATATCACATATCCCCCACTTATTGTTTTCTTCAGTGTACTGTTGTGCTTACACTATTTTAAAAGAAAATTAAATGATATTTTCAATGATAAGGATAATGTCAAAAATAGAAATGTATGTATATTTGTCACCCAAATATTGCTCAAGAAAGTATTTGTACATCCATTTGTTATTTTGGAAAAAATGGTTTCATATACATTTTAGGTTTGGCATTTGTTAATGTTAGGGAGCACTCTATTTCTTTTCTTTTAATAATTTACTTATTTTTATTGCAAAGTCAGATTGACAGAGAGAAGGCAAGACAGAAAGATCTTCCATCTGCTGATTCACTCCCCAGATGGCCACCAGGGCCCGAGCTGAGCTGATACAAAGCCAGGAGCCAGGAGCCTCCTCCTGGTCTCCCACATGGGTGCAGGAGGGCCCAAGTCTTTGGGTTGTCCTCAACTGCTTTCCCAGGCCACAAGCAGGGAGCTGGATAAGAAATGGAGCACCCATTAGGTACTGTTTTTATCACTATCCAATAAGACATAGCATTATGGATTCTGAAAAATAATTTTTATTATAAAGCATTACTATTCAGCAGTTCAGATACTACTAGGAGAATCCATCAACATGAAAATATTTTTAAGTTCTTTCTTAGCTAAAACATTTTTTAACTAAGTAAACTGGTGAGAGAATTATTTTATTCAAGCTTTTTGCATTAAATCATAACCTGTTCAATACATTTTATTACAAATTTCTTCAAACTGGCCTACCCTCCAGCATGTCGCTGGGTGCTGCAGCATGGCCCAGCCTAGCCCACTAATGACCCCAACTCTCACACTCCCCAGAGGGAGCTGCAGCCCAGCAAGGTATCACCCAGAGTTCCCCTACAACCCTGCTCTTGGCACGTGCAGGTGGGTGTTTCGATCCAGCCTGGCATAGCCCACCGCAGTCTTAGCTCTCGGCAGGTATTTCCGCCTAGCCCAGCCAAAAGGTAGAGAAAACTGACTTCTGTGTTTACTTTTACACTTTTTAAAAAAATGATTTTAGTTCTTTTATCTAGGTCATTGATGACTTAGGTATCAATGAGCTTCATTTTTTTTGTTTTCTCATTGTGGATGTCAAGTTGTCTTGGTACCATTTGTTGATGAAACATTTCTGTGAAAAACCAGTTGACCTTAGATATATGGATTTATTTCTAAGTCCTCAAATCTATTCCAGTCATTTGTGTGACTGTCCATATGCCAGTACTCCAGTGTTTAATATTTGAAATCAGGAATGGTGAGTCTTTCAATTTTGCTATTCTTTCAGCATTGTTTTGGCTATTGAGGCTTCCTTGCAATCCCATATGAATTTGAGGATTAGCTTTTCCATTTCTGCCGCAAAGGCCATTGAAATTTTTATAGGGATTATGCTGAATCTATATCATTTTGGGTATTACTGACATGTTGATAATAAGTTTCCAATTATGTGCATGGCATATCTTTTTATTTATTTATACTTACTGTAATTTCTTTTAGCAATGTGGTAAGAATTCAGTGTATCGATCTTTCACCCACTATGTTAAATTTATTCCTAGGTGTTTTATTCATTAGGATATTCTGTAGATGGACTTCTTAATTTCTTTCTGGAATTATTTGCTGGTGATGTATAGAAGCAAAATTGGGTTTTGCTTGTTGATTATATAAAAAAAATTTTTTTGGAATTAATCTAATAGCAGTAGTAGCTCTTTGTAGGTTCTTTTATTTATTTTTCCTTAAAAATAAATAAATTATTTATTAATAAATAAATACATTCTTTATAAAATTAAAATGCATGTATTTTTATTAACTAATTACTACGGCTAGAGCTGCAGCATAATGTTGACATGTCATCACTGACAGTAAAGAAGCTGGGGCTGACCCATGCTGGAGCCTGGAGCCAGGAATCCATCACTTGCTGCTGGAGCATGGGTAAAGCAGCTGGGAATTGAATAGACACTATGATACGAGAAGCAGGCATCTCAAATGGTGAATTAACCCACGGTGTATAAGGCTTGCTATTAGCACGTTTACTTTTCTTTCTGTGAATTGGCTGTTTATATCGTTTACCTATCTTTCTGGGATTATTTGTTGCCTTTTTGTTTTAAACAGATTTGTGCATGTTCTTATCATATATTTTTACACTTTTGTGTTATGGTTTCTTATTTTTCTTTTGTCATTTTTTTCATGAATGCACTTTTTATTTGTATATTATTGAATTTATCAGTTTTATAAATAAAATAATTTCATAAAATTAATAAACTAATGCAATTTCTCTATGTTAGTAACAGCTAATTTAAAATTTAATTAAAAGCAAGATAGTAATCCAAACTGATTAATTTTCTAATAATTAACAAAGTGTACATATGACTGCTATATCTTAATAAATTTGTGGAAGACATTTCAATGTCCTGAGTTAAAAGGTAATTTCAGTCCAACTTTTACACAGCTTTTTAAACTTGTCTTAAAATTTGCATTGACAAACAATGATCCATCAGTAGTTAAGTATGCCTTGGATAAAGAAAGGCAGGAGGCGTGAATAAGCGAAAAGACTACCAGATACTGACTTAGAGTACTTCATATGTGAAAACTAACTCAAGCATAGACCCAAATGAGATCTCCAATGCCATTTATTAGACTCAAAAATTATAACGTGTTCAATAATGAGAAAACATGAAACTAAATAGTGTTGTATTTGTGACCTTAACACAATTTCTTTATCAATCCATCTATTATTGTTAAAATATAGGTTGTTGTTAGTTTGGGACTATTATAAAAAAGCAACTTAGAAGCACTTTTTTTTTTCAATTTTTTATATCATTGTTTTGAGATTATATCATTTTACAGCACTAGCAATAAATGAGAGTTCAAATTGTTCCCTGTCCTTGCATTATGTACATCATTGTCAGTGATTTTAATTCCAGCCATTCTTGGTGTGTAGTGGCAGCCAACGGGAATGGTACCTACTTTGAGATTAATTTCCTTCCTTTTTGCAATTTAAGGTGATAACTTTGAAAGTTGATTTTCAGTCTTTTTCTTTTCTAGTATAAGTACAAATCTAAAATTTCTTTTGAAGTATGCTTTAGCAGTTCATAAACTTTGATGTATTATGTTTTTAATTCAAAATATTTTTAAATTACTCATTTTTGACTGAGTATTATTGTGAAGTTTATTTAGTTTGCAAATATTGGGGGGATTTCCCAAACATCCGTTATTGGTTTCTAATCAAATTCTCTTGTGATTAAAGAAAAACATCCTGTGTGATTTCAGTCCTTTTTTAAATTTGTTGAGATTTATTTTATGGCTTAGACTACAAGTCTAGGTGAATGTTTCACAAACACCTGAAAAAACTGGAATTTTCCATAAATGCCTGTCGGGTTTAGTTGATGACACTGGTTAAGAGTTTCTTGACTTTCTACTTATGTTCAGCTCTTCCAACTGTAACTGAGTGTGTATATTTCTGGTTTTTTTCAGTTCTTGCTTCATGTGTTAGTACCTGCCCAATGGTCTAGTTTTTCTTCCTATGCACTTATGATTTTGTCCTTTTATTGCTATGATTGTCCTCACCACTGAAATGTTTCACTGATATTAATAAACCTCTTCAGTCACTTAGTGATTTGTGCTTGGGTTATACATTGCTTCCGTACTTCTTTTAACCTATCTAGTTTAAATATAAAGCTGTGGTTTTATATTTCTTAGGAAAAGTATGTATTGCAGTGTTGCCTTTTTACACAATCTGTGTCTGCCTTTTTATCAGAGTGTTTAGTTCAAGTAGACTTGGTATAATTATGAAAGGGTTAGGTTTAAATCTACCATCTTATTACTATATTTTATTTATGCTATCCGGTGTTTGTTCTTTTTTTCCTTGCTTTCATTTGGAAATCATTTTGTTTTGGATTTTTCTTCTTTTTTGTTCCACTAATTTTATATTATTATTATTATTATTATTATTATTATTATTATTACTATCATTTCATGATACAGTTCCATAAGTCCTGGGATTTCCCTTGCCCCTTTCCCTGTTCCCTTCTCTCCCACTGAGTTCCCCTATATTATTACAATAGTATCATTCTTCATAAACAGTCATATGTCCATCATTGTGGGCATGGACAATGGCACAAAGTCCAGCATCCTATTGTGAAGATATAGTAAACAGTTTCATTGGGAATCCGTCTTTGATCTGGAAGTAGAGATGCAAACTGCATTGTATCCTCACATCTGGACAGGATAGTCTTCATTATGCAGTTACTATATATCCCCTTAAATGAAAAGTCACAAAACAAAATCAGCAACAGGAAGAAAAAAAAAATTTAACAATGCCATGCAGTTAAATAGACATCTCTGATTGGATGGTTCATTCCTATACTGCTTGCAGTAATTGAGAGATGCTGAGGACAGAACCAAGAACTGACGTCTCTCGAGGCTCCTTATGTGGGTGTCGGAAGCCCAGTTACTTGAGCAATCAACTTTGTCTGCAAGGGGCTGGAGCCTGGAATTGGGAGTTAGAAATTAAATCCAAGCATTCTGATGCAAAAAGTAGGTATCTTAACTGTTGGGCTAAAAACCCATTCTAAATTAATTGTTCTTAAATCATGTTGCTATTGTTTCACGCTATGCAAGTATAGCTTTTTATTTTAGCAAAAAATTGGAAGATACACTTTGTAGATTTCTGCAGCTCTTTCTCTGTGTAACTGTTTTTATGGCACTCTGGTCAACTGTAACTACCTTGTTCTCCCAAAACTCTCAATATCTGTTCAAGCCAGCTAGCAATTGCTTCTCTATTTGGAATAACTTCCTTGTACAAAAGTCTGGG